TACATACATACATACATACATTTTGTTGCTGTTATTTGACTTTGTTCTAATTTTATGAAATATAGTTCCAGTTCTGTTTCGTAAGGGAAAGGATTCCCTGAATTCTTTAAGTTAGAGATCAAATGTTTCATATATAGAAATATGAATTTAACAGCTGTAGGATTAAAGTATATCTAGATGTTTAAAATTGCAAAATAGTTATCTATATTTGATACATAGTTTTCAAACTAATTAAAGAAACATTTGGCTGTTCTGTCAAGGAGCCTGTTGAAACAGCTTTAGAAAAATGCCTTATTTTTCACAGTAAAATAACCACCTGCAAAACATGTAGGTTAAATACAGAGTCAGGTGAAATGACTCCTGTAATACTATTAAGATGTGTTTCATTTATAATTAAAATTTTATAGAAAGACATCTTCTTAACTTCCACAGTGAGGGGTAGCCATGGAGCAGCAACAAGACTTGTGGCACCTTAAAGATGTAACAAATTCATTCTGGCATCAGTCACCTCCTGGACTGCAAGCCCTTTGCGCACACAAAGGCCATCATTAACCTTCTTGATTTTAGGGTGCAAAAGTCTCAAAGCTGTTTGCCTTAAGCTTGTGACTTGTATATATCAAAATAAATCTATGTGGTTGTTCCTGCAACAAAACTGCCAGATCTGCCGAACTTTAATCTTTTATTTTGCAGTATGCATGACAGGCTGGAAGTATGTCTTTAACTCAGCAGTAAGAAAAAAATATTTATTTGTACAATCACTTTGGTACACATTTCAACTGGCCTGATAGAAAATATTGAACAGCAAACTGAATTGGCACATCTTTAATATTGTGTTAAATACATACAAAACACTGATAAAATATCCCTGATAAACCAAAGTGCATATAGAACTGCGCACAATGCCCAGATATCTTATTGCACCATTCTCTATAGCCACCCATATTTTCAAACATCACTTAACAGTTGTCTATCGAAAGGTAACTAACAGTCATAAGTAAGTTGATAACAGTTACACACCAATTATTTTACATAACAGTATTTAGTGCCAAGTAACACGTCTTTGCCTTTTATGTTGCCATGTGTAATTACTAACATGTTGCAGCAGGAAATAATCATAATAACAGCAAAATTTAAATATGTGATCACATGATAATGACCATTTTGAAGTGCTACATTGCCGAAAATCCACAGGGCCACCTTTGTCAGGTATATCAAATGTTAGAGGAAAGATAGCAAGCAAATTGTTATGGTACCCCAGGACTAATGCCTTTCTATTCCTTGATATTACATGAGTGGTATATGGAGACTAAGTTTTAGATTTTCAACACAAAGCCTGTTGAAGCAATAAATTGCAGTTAAACAAATTAAGTGTTGCAAAATACTTTTTTTCATCCAATTTGGTAATGATCTTTTTCTTTCTCATACATGGACTGTGCAAACTTCCTTCTAGCGTTTTATCATTCAAGTAAAAACTCTGTATGTGAATATCAATTCATGATACCAGTACACTATATTTAAAGCTGGAACTGGAGATTAATGCCAATGCAATTAAAGTTTAAGGCATTTTTCTAAACATAGTTTCTTCTTCCCTAAGCAAAATGAAACAAAGCAATAAAAATTGAGGTAATTCTGTAGTTCACACTGTTATGCTTGCCAGTTGACACACATCTACAGATCATACACGCACACGCACACACTCACATAGAAAAACTGAACCAGTCAAGCCAAATATGCATATGGTGAAAAAAGACTGATGAATGTAATGATGGATAAAGAATTAATTGCTGAACAACTTTTGACATCACATTGTGTGTCAATGCCATATTGTCTCAACAATATTACAATACTGCACACCACAACTTGTAGCATAAGTACATGTTCTGCCATGTTGTTTTTCTAATTGCTTTTTCCAAAAAAGGAAAAAAAAAAAGAACATAAGGAACACTCTGATAAAGTTGTATTTTTCTACTTTTGGAAATCAATATAAACAAAAAGGAGATTCATTTGAAGCATAGTATATAGTAGCAGCAGCATTTGATGGACTATATATAAAAAGTCTCATCTTCCTGAATAAGAAGCTTTTTTATGGTAACAAACACACATTTTAAAGCCATTGTGACACATGGATTTAGAAACAATGAGACTATAAAGAAAGATGGAATGAGTGCTTTCGTCCTATTTGAATACCCTGCAAAAACACTGATCTAGCTAATCTGCTGTGAGTTAGAGGACCTTTAGATGAAAGGAAAACCTTAGCACTACAAGTTGTCATTATTGTGATGCGATCACATTCACAATAAGTTCTCAGTTTCACCATCAAACTCAAATCATGAGCCAGTTAAGAGCCTTTTTTCACCATCACTAACCAACAAGCAAACCGATATCAGCTCACTTTTTAGAGGACTTACAACAAACTGCAGATATTCTGCTTCATTCACCCAACCCCTTCACGACCTCCACTGCAGCAATGAAGGGCTGCTCAATCTCCAGAGAAGCAAGACATTGGACACTGCAGCCCAGTATAGGGAAAGAAAGATTTATCTCGAGATAAAACTGGGAAGATTCAAGAAAATGTTCCATATAGGAAAAAGAATAGAGCAGAAGGCAAAGTCCACATTTGATGTGGCATGCAGTTAAAGGCAAAGGCAGAATTATAAATGGGTCTTTTACTTGAAGATATTTTCTGGATTGGATAATCTGTGTCCGGTCTTGACAGCCACTGTATCATGTAGGTCTTCTTGGATGTATCTGATGAATTTTCTGAAGGAGAATGAAGGATTTGGGATGGAAAAGGGAAAAAAAATATGAGCACATTTTGTAGCTGTTAAGGAACACTTTACAGTCCTTGGTTCTGTAAGCTGAATTAATAGCCCCCATTCTAATCACAAAAAGGAAAATATTTTAAAAGCCAAAACTATACTAGAAAAACACAAGTGTTTTTAGTTTTAATGAAATTAATCATTTGAGCCCTTCTGTTCAGATGCATCACAACGTGGCATGCTTTCAGAAAGGCTAACACAGAACAAATGTAGATATTGCATAAATGTTTTTATAGAAATTTACTTCCGTTTTAGGATTTCTTCACACATTCTGGCTGTTAGGCATGCCCTTAAGATTTTGAAAGGGTACTTTTGAGCAAGCAGGGCAGGGACAGGGGAAAGGGCTGGCAACAGCTATAGACCATTGTGGGTCTGGACTGGAAGACACCGAAGTGGAGGAACTATAGAACAGAAAAACAGGGAATAAAAGTAAAAATGGAAGGGTGATAGTGCTTAACCTCAGAACCTCAGTCTCCACTATTCAAGTTTCCAAAATGGAGTCGGATCCTCTGATAACTCATAGATGAAGAATTCATGCCAAGAATGATTCTCAACACTTTGGTCTTCTTTATTACTTCATACTGGCCTCCTAGCATTTTCCCTCAACCCAAAAAGAAAAACCAGACTGCTTTAAGAAGTGTTTTTCATTTTTTCTCCAGCTGCAATAAATGTAAAGCTGTTAACACTGGGAATATGGGACAGATTACTCTGACAATAGAGAAGTAAAATAGCAAATGTATGTATAGCGATGTCTCAAGTTTCACAAGAGTCCTCCCCACTTCATCCTCCCCATTCCCCATCTCTACAGAAGACTCAAGAAGTAAGAGTTTTTAAAATGTGTACACTCACTTGGACATGAAGATAGCCTACAGATCCTTGTTGTTTCTGGCCTATCTTCTTTACAAAAGCCAGTAACATTTTCTCTTGTCTTGCAGAGAACTGGCCTTTCTTGTGTGCCATTACCACAGGTTACAGAACACTGGAGAGAAAACAAAAAATGGGCTTCTGGCTCTCTTTTGTAAATGCATTTGCGGTTTATATCTTTATCTTTATACACACACGGAATTAGTGCTAACAGTCACACCATCATTACTCCTATTCCAACATTCTAAACTTCTCGATGACTCTAAAGCAAAAATGGAGCCTTGTTGTTATATAAATATAAAATCTGTACATTCCAGTTTTGTATTTCCAAGACAAAGCAAGGGAAGAGCCACACAGACGTGTCCATTTATTTCAATTGAGTAAGCAAATCCACATGGATAATCTTATCCCCCCCGTATTAATAAAAATAGTTAAATTAAATATAAATTGAACCACGATACAAATGTCTGCTTACCTGTGACCAGGGTCCTATCCACCACTGTGCAGGGCAAAGCTCCCGATTGCAAACCCTCTTGCCCTCTGGACGATCACTGCTGCAGTATTTGGTATGGACAGAGCGGTTTGTGTTGTCATGCAGTGTTTGGATACATCGTACTGAACGCACCTGATATCCTGTTTTCCCACAACTTTTGCTGCAAGGTTCCCAGTCACCTGTCACCCATCTGTTTCAATGAAAAACAATTAAGTCAAATATATAATTGCACCACTAGATCCTCCTGTCCAGTTTATTATTTCCAGAATGAGTATTGTTTAGCCTGGGACTTCTGGAGGAAGAATGGTGGATTGAAGATGGCTCCACGAAAAGCAGAGCCAATGACTGCAGTGAAGAACAAAGAGCTGGCGAGTAGACCGGCTCTTTGAACCTCTCTGGACAAAGGAGAGGACTTGAGATCAACCCATAAGTGCTCCAGACAGTTTCTCCTCATGAGGAGACTGTAAGATAGTAGTCTCCAGCAGGTTTTGAGCACTGGGAGATGAGGGAATAGTCATCTTGCTCAAACCGCAGTTGGCGCCTTTGAAAGGACACTAAGTTTGCATACTTCATTTTCTAATCACTTTCAGAAATTGCTTAACTACTTTTCAGCTATTAGAAACCTTTGGATTGACAAGTTTGAAAGCACCAGGTGAGTTTGCCTTCAATCCTTAATGAAAGAAAGTTTTAACTACAAGCTTAAGATCTTAAAAAAAAAAAAGGAAATAAACAGCAAAAGGTTTATTAAAACTTTGATTTTAGAAAGTGTGATGGAATGGACTTATGAAGGCCATGCTCAGGGCGATAAGTGTGTTCTTAGCCCCCAACAGGAGCGTGGGAAGTTCAAGAAGATGCGGCTGGCACCTCCCTA